GGCCTCTGGTGCTTGTGGAAGCACCTGGTCCCTGCCGTTCCAGATTCCTCTCCCTCCCTGACTGCCTGGCGGGGATGCCGCTGAAAGCCAAATCTCTGCCCGCCTCCCCCTCCTGGAGGGACGAACGTGCCAAGGAAAGGAAGGCTTTTCTGGGTAAAAACTGTCCTGTTCCCACACGTGTGGGGGCTGGCGCGGGCCGTCGGGCATGGCTCCTCAAAGGAGTTCAGGCCCCATCCTCAGTGCCCAGGAGCGCCCAGGCCTGCCTTGGCCAGGCTTGGATGGACAAGACCCCCTACGAGCCTCCCCGTGTCCTCTGTGGCTGCCAGAGGCCGTGGCTGGATGACTAGCCAAAAATGTGCCAAACTGCCTTCTAGTTAAATTCCTGAACTTCTGGGCCTCCCTGATGGCGCAGTGGGTTGAGCGCGGTGCTATGAAGCTGTCCGCAGCCTCTGCAGTGCTGGTTCGATCCCCACCAGCCTCAGAGCAACCCACATGGCGAGCAGACCTCTCCTGCTGCGCCTGCTGCTCCCCTCAGCAGTGTATTTCGTCAGTCTGCCTGTTCTGCTCCCCGCTCTGTCCCGTGAATCCTCTCACCCTCCCGCGCATCTGGACTGAACCCTGGCTCTTGTATAAAAAAAAAATTCTGAACTTCCACCCACAATTTTTTTTAAGATTTATTTATTTATGCATACAGGAGCTGGGACACAGACCAGAGGTGTGGGGGAGTGAGAGGATTCACCAGAGTGGGGAGCAGAACAGGCAGACGGACCGAAAGTACTGCTGAGGGGAGCAGCGGGGAGACAGGAGAGGTCTGCCACACCATGTGGGTAGCTCCCTGGCCAGGGATCAAACTCGTGCTACAGAGGCTGCGGACAGCTTCATCGGTTGTGTCTTAACCCCTTGCGCCACCAGGGAGGCCCTGTCCTTCTGTGATCTTAATGAAAGGGAGATGTTCTAAATTGTGGGTGATCTAAACATCTCCAGAGAAAGCAGGTGTGTGTATGTGCGCAAGTTAGCATTCTTGACCAGGCCACTAAAATGCTGTGTGATCCTTAGCCAGTTGCTGGAACTTTCTGCGTCCCACGTTCCCCGTTTGTCAAATTAGGATGCTGGGCTCGGTGACATGTGCAGAATCACGGGACTCTAGTACCGGAAGAGCCCTCGCCGCCATCCGGTCCTCTCTGTCCATCTGCAGGGAAGGAAAGTGGAGAGTCCTGTCTCCAGACGGATTCCAGGGGTGACACAGGGCTTCCTGCGGCCGCCAGCCCCCAGCGTGGAGACCGCCGGGCAGCGCACCCGGTGTGACACGGCTCCGAATGCTGTTTTCTAGACTTCAGTTCCTTGATCTGTAAAATGGAAGGGGTTGGGCTGAGGTTCCTTTCACACTGAAGACTTTGAGGATTAAAGCGGTCTCTTTGAAATCCAACATCTTTGCCACCCCTGGGATTGCATCGGGAACGTAATAAAGATAATGTAACTCTAGGAAGAAGTTAGCACGGGGGCCAGGTTCCGAGCCTCCTTCCAGAGGCTTCGATCAGAGGATGAACTTGTCCAACATGTCCCCAAGCGTGGAGATTGCTCCAGCGATGTCTCTGCTAGTGACAGCCACAAAGCCTTGCTGTCAGGTGGAGCCCGCTGGGGAAGGGGCCGGGAAGAGGGTGACATTGATTGTTCATTTCCTGTGGATTTGGGGGCCGCGGGTCAGAGCCCACGGCCAGCCCCTCCGCCTGGCCGCTGTGACTGCTCTGTGTCCCCAGCGGAGGCTCAGAGCCTCACAATCCATTAAGTCTTGCCTTCCCAGTGTCTGTTTACTCGGTGGTTACAAATTGCCAATGGGACAGGAGCTGCCTGTCACTTCCAGAGCAATTAGTGTGTGAAAACTTATCAAAAGAAACCTGTCAAGTCCGAACCCGTATAAATAGTGCAAGGACGTCCCCGAGGAAATGTCACGGTGGGGCCCGGTCTCCCCGCCTGGCTGCACGGGAGAACCTATTTTGTTTTATTTACTTGGCTTTATTTTTCACACTGTTGATAGAATTTCATGTAACCCCACAGATTAATGCTTCACCCTGATAAAAATAGACACCGGTTCTCAGGAAGTCGTCTGCCCGGTGAGTGGCCTGCTGGCCGGCAGGGTGGACGTCTAGGGGCTGGGCTGACGTGTCCCCCTCGCCCGCCTGGGCTCAGCGTGTCCACATCTGTAAAATGAAGGTGGAGGACAGTGACCTGCTGGGGAGCTCTGGGGTCGGCTGCACGTGCGGCCTCTGCTGGCCTCTGCGTGAGCACCTCGTCCTCGTGCCCCTGCCTCCTGGCCCTGGACACGTGGACATGCAGTATCCAGGCCGTGACCATTGCTGTGAAGAGAAATTAGTCTCTTTTCTAGAGGTTTCCCCCAGTGTGGCATCTCGGCTGCAGCTCCACTCGGTGTCCCCGGAGCCCAGCGGTTTCTGCCAGGGCACCCCGGTCCGAGCAGGACGACGTGGTCCCCACCCTTGGCCCCTCCGTGGAGGGTGCTGGCGGGAGATTTGTGCCTCGACTGTCTGAACAGTAGTTAAGGATCCCTGTGGCTGCAGCTGGGGAAACTCGCCACCACGTTATGTCGATGGTTTGCTGTTTAGGGTGACTCCCTCCCACCCCAATCCAGCTGCCCACTTCTCTGCCCCGCTGATTGTTCTTGGAGTGAGGTCACTGCTCAGGTCAGGGCACCCCCCCTGGGTTTTGTGCATATTTCAGAAAAGTGGCGAGTGTTGTGGGGAGGGGCCGTGGCGCGGCCAGATCTGCTGCAGGAACGCCGAGGAGGCGAGGCCTCGGCAGTCACTGTTGCGCCCTGGACGTCCACTGCGGGAGACGCTGCAGCGCCGCCTGCCGTGGCCGGAGGCCGTGCTCGGGTCTCTGCCCGGGTCGCCCTTGTAACTTCGGCGCAGCTGGGGGCAGAGAAGGTCTCCGACGGGAGTCGCTATTCCGAGGACCATGTCCGGGAAAGGCGGGGCCCGCCCCCAGGAAGCTCACGCCGCTCCCTCGAGCAACAAGTGACGTGAGTCACAAAACCCGAAATCCCCTCACTGAGCGTGACGTAGCTCAGCACCTGTTACCCGAGTGTGTTTTGTTCTTGCTTTGAAGACGCGTGAGCTTGATGGCTGAGAGGCGCCTGGGCCCCGGCCTGCCCCCCGCGTCCTGCCGGCCCCTTCCTGGAGCACGACACTGAGTGAGAGCGGAATGTCTCCCGGGCTCCTCTGTTCTGGCCTTTTCTTTCACTCCAGCGAGAACAGGAACAAGGCTCGCGCTCTCTGCCTGGTGTCCTGGGCCCCGAGTGTCCTGGGCCCCAGCCAGCCTCCTCCCCCCGGGCGGGCTGGCCTCGCGGGCCGAGCATCTGGTGTGGAAAGCCCCTTGGGAAAGCCGCGAGGGCGCCGTGGCACTGGCTGCAGCGCTCCTTGGAGGCGGCGGGTGGGGGGGCTGCGCTGGGCCCTTGCTCTCCGGCTTTCCGCGGTGGCTGGAGACGCTCACATGGATGGAAGCCCCGCAGCTGGTGGGGCGTGCGGAGTCCGCGCTCCGCCTGCGCCTGGGGGAACACTTGGCGCTCCCAGGCCACACGGCTCCCGGGAGCACACAGGAGGGCGAGTGGGGGCGCGTCGCCGCTGGCTGTGCCGTGCCTTAGACCCCCTGTGTTTTCCGGGACGTGCCATCCAGGGTCGTGCTTCACAAGCTCTAAGGGGGGCTTTTTCTCCCCCCACATTTCAGTTTCTTGAGGAAGTAACTGGGACTCTGGTGCTTATTTGCACCGTGCACCCTCTTGGCGTCAGCGTGGGGTGGCGTGTAATTACGGCGCAGTCACTGCGTAGCTGTTCTCATGTAAACACAATCGCGTCTCTGCCGTGAGCCTGTGGAAACGCGATAGGCTGTGAAGGGCGCCGCCTCCCGCCCTGCTTGCCTCGTAAACCGTGGGTTTGTGAGGCGGGACGGTTCTGGGGCCACCTCCATGACGAGCCTGCACGTGTGGTGGGGGGTCCTCACTGAGGTGTCCGACAGCAATGCGTGTTCTCTCACCAAGGTGGGGGGTCACTTCTCTGTCACCTCCGATGACCTGCCAGGCCTTGAGCCTTCCCGATGACAGCCAGAGGGGCCTGCTCACCCCCACGTGCTGCAGCCCCGGGCTCCGTGCAGCTGGGTGCCCCCCACCAGAGCAATTTCCAGAGATAAAACGGGGTGTGTGGGCTGGTGGGCCGGGGGGCCATGGCTGGTGCGCAGCTCTGCACAGGCTAAAAACAGGCTCACCAAGTCCTCGCCGCTGGAGGTCCAGACGGCAAAGCATCCCGGCGCTCTGCGTCTGGTTCCTTCCCCGGAACGGGAAGCACGGGCTCACGTGTCCGTCCACAAAATGTCCACCTGGCTCTTAAGAAAAGCCGGAGCTTCCCGAGGAGCCCGGAGTTGGGGCCACTTACCCCCTCCCCCACCCTGGCATCCCCATGTTCTGAAGAGGCTGGGCTGTGGCCGGGCTGTGGCCTCGCCTCCTCCTCGCTCCCGGGTGGGGCCTTCCTCAGCCAGTCTCTGCAAATACAAATACAGCTTTGCCTTCATGAGGCCGAGCGAGTACTGGCTCCAGTGTCCAGTCACTGAAATCGTGGAGCAAGAGCGGGAGCTTGCCGGGGCGGGAGAGCACGGGGCTGGGCCCAGGGCGTGTGCGCGGCTGATGCTCTGAGCCAGGCTGGCTCAGCTAAAGGACTGGGCACCGCTGGGCTACCCTCCGCTGCGGGACAGCTGGCCCATGCTGGGTCCCGTCCCCTCACTCCGGGCTCGGCCTTCCCTCCCCCGCCACCAGTGGGCCCTCCAGGCTGGAGACGGGCTGACGGCTGGGCCAGGGGAACCGTGTGGCCTGGCCTGGCCTCCTTGTGCCTGCGGGCCGGCGTGGGGCCCTGGGCCCAGGGAGGATTTCTGATCAGCTCTCTTGTGGGTGCGGCCCGTGCCCGAGACGGGCCTGTGACCGCGGTCCCTTGTGCTTTCAGAGCTGAGCTACGCCTGGATCTTCAACGAGTACCCCTGCGCCCAGGACAACCGCCGCTTCGTCTCGCAGGAGACCGGGAACCTGTACATCGCCAAGGTGGAGCGGTCCGACGTCGGCAACTACACCTGTGTGGTCACCAACACGGTGACCAACCACAAGGTCCTGGGCCCCCCCACGCCCCTGGTCCTGAGGACCGACGGTGAGTGCTCGGCTGGGCCGGGGGTGCTGGGTCAGCGCAGGCCGGACCGGTCGCGTCTCAATTAAATTCGGGGCAAGTTCAACGCTTTGTACGTTTGGTGCCGTGTTTTCTCCACGTGTGTAAGGAGCAAACCCATGACTCCACTTTGGAAAACTAATTAGAAATCTAATTGCTAACCTCGACGTGGGTGAGTGGAACGTGGGTTTAGTTGGACATAAATAACAAAAGCCTCTATTTCTTGTTTCCTTGCCACTTCGATTGTGTGCACAGGCAGAGTGGAGAGCAAGGTCAGGCAATTAGCTCATTCATCAGCCCCGTGTAATTTAGTGTTCAGTGTCCAGAGAGCTTTTAAATTATCCAAATAACTTCTGTATTTATGACCCTGGACACCGTTCCTCTCGGTGAAATGCAGAGTATCAAGGCTTGCTTGACAGAAGTCTTAATTTCCCTTTCTTTCCTGAGACTATTTCAAGAAAATATATGAACTTGACCTTCACCCCGAGACGTGGCGCGCAGTGTGGGGAGCCCCGCAGGCTTTCTCAAGCCTCTTTGCCCAGACCCCGAGCCTGCCCCTGACTCTGCTTTGTTCCCTCTTCTGAAATGCTCGTCCTTGCCCTGTCCCGGCTTCCACATGGCTGAGCTCACGGGTCCTTCCAGCTCTTCCGGGCTGTCGCGTCTCTGGGAACCTGTCCCTGCCCAAACCCCATGGACACTCCCACAGGTGCATATAAGGCGCAAGCTCCTCTGCCACCTGCAGTGCATTTGACCTCCCTGAGCCCTGCAGTCGGCCTGACCACAGCCCCGGGCTCCTCTGTCCACTCGTCCTCTGCGAAGCCCGCGCACCCTGCTCGCTGCTGTCCCTGGCACCTGGCTCAGCCCTGGCTCCCACGGGATCCTCCTTGAGTGCCTGCAGAGGGAACGAAGCGGGGGCATGGGGACGGCCACTGGGAGGCCAACAGCCACACGAGCGACACCGTGCACACGTGTGCGTGGCTCCCCTTGGCCACCCTGCCTGTCCAGCATCCGCCGGGACAGGGTCGCTGGGCCTGTCCTGCAGCTGAGGGAACAACGAGGCCTGTCCGGCGGGTGCGCCTGGGCCCTGGTGTCGGCCAGGCCTCCGAGTTCCGGGGGGGCCGCTCACTCCAGCCACGGGGAGGTGAGCGTGCCCCCGATCGCGTTTTGGGTGTGTGAGTGGGGGTCAGACACTCGGGACAAGCCCCGGAGCCGCAGGGCAGGCTGAAAGTCAAGGGTGGACGTGGCCAGCTCCGTGCCCTGGGCTCGTGCCCACTTGTCACTTGGGGGCACGAGGTCCCCTGGCACAGCCCTCGCCCGGGCAGGAGCCTGTGACTGGGCTCCAAGCGACCAGGCAGGACAGGAGCAGGCCCGGGGCCCGCAGCTGAGCACCCGACCAGCTTGGTCTTACTCACTGTGGCCTCACCCGGGAGGAGCAAGGGCCTGGACCAAAAGTCCTAAGGAAGACGCCTGGGTTCTGTGCGCGTTCCAGTCCCCAGCCTGGGACGAACACTGCGCGGCTTTGACCTCGGTTTGCTCGGCTGTGGAATGGCTGATTTATAATGTGCCGTGTGGAGGGTCTTTCCAGCACCTTCTAGGACCCGCTCTTAACTCTGGCAGCGTCGCTTAGCCTCAGCATTCGCACGGCCAGACAGCACCAGGCTCCACGCCACGGGACTGCTGGGCATCGGAGGGCTCTTCCCAGGGCCGGCACTGCCCAGCACACAACCACTGCCGCCCAGCGCAAGCCCGGCCAAGAGCCTGCCCCTCTGCTGGCAGATTCTCAGCGACTCCAGAGGCCACATGCCCCTCAGAATGGGCCCCAGGAAACCCGAGGGTGGACAGAGAGCAGTGGCCGTGTGGCATATCCGGCCGCCGGGTGTCCTCTGAGCCCTTCCTTCTGCTGCCCCACCGGGCGAGGTCCCCACAGGGCCTGCCGCCGTGATGCGCCTTCACGGACAGACCAGCCTCGTCCACTGTTTCAAGGGCTCCTCTTGACGTGGACCCTACAGCCTTCGCCTGACGCCGCGTTGTGGACGGGCAGGACAGAGCCCTGCGTGACACCGGCGCCCTCCCCTCGCCCTCTCCGGCATCGCCCCAGCCCTGGAGTCGAGGCCCAAACTGTGCTCTGCTCACTTCAGCCTCTCCCCACAGCTCCGTGCGGCCCGTCACAGTCACGTGTGTGTGGTTCTCTGACGCCGTGAGCGTCGCGGCCCGTGGGCCTGACGCTCTCCTTGCAGGATGCGTGATGGCCGGGGAGGCGGCTCTTTCGCTCCGCTGCCGCCCCCCTTAGGATTTGGTAGCATCTCGCTGGCTCTGGGGTGGGGGCGGGGGAGGCCACAGCTGGGGGACTCTGCGGGCAGCCTCAGGCTGCTCCACTTAGGGTCTACGGGGAGAAGTGTTGGGGTGATTCGGCCCGTCAGGAGGATGTGCGGCCTACAGGCTCCCGCCCTCTGCCGCGCTGCAAGGTCCCTGCCTGGACCACGCCTGCTCGGGTCCGTGGGGACCCGGCTCCTGCTGCTTGGACAGACTCCAGCGGCCCCTCCGGCCAGTCACAGCAAACCTTTTTCAAACGGGCAAGCTGGTCTGCTCGGCCCAGGGAATTCGTGTGGTGAGTCAGATCTCTCCAAATGGTTTCCCATGGGTGGGGTAGACATCGAATGACTTGCTCCTGAGAAACGCGCGGGAACTTCACATAAGAGGGTTTTGCATTTTGTGGTGGCGAGTCCCTGCTGAGCGCTCATTTGCGGCGCGGGCTGCCCCGGCACAGCTCTCGGGCCTCGCTCCTCGGCCACCGCGGCCGTCTCTCCCTCACAGCCGTGCCTCGCGCTGCTCTGTGTGAGTTCCGTGTTCTCAGCAGACCACAGCATCGCTGTTCGCCGCCCTCTGGAACAGGACAAGGACTGGGACGTCGTCTCAGGGGCACGGAGATGCCGGGGATGTCAGGGTGGGGCGGCATCCCCAGGGTGCTCCCGCTGGCCACCCCCAGGAGAGGCCTGGAGATGGGAGGTGCAGCTTCGCGCTGCAGCGTCAGCGCCTCCTGCCACTGTCAGCATCTTCCCGGGCCAGCGGCGCAGCGTCCCTGAGGGCCTGCTGGCGGTGCAGACGCCCGGCTGTCCCTTCCCAAGTCAACAATCAAGCCCTTTGGGGAATTTAAAGTTTGAGAGGTTCTGACTTTGAAAAAACGACCTGGAAATTGCTAGCCGTGTTTTCCTTGGGAAATAGACTCCTTCAGCAATAAGCAGTCACAGCCTGCAAGCCGCCTACTGTGCGACACGGTGCAGGAGCCGCCTCCGGCCTCTTCCCTCTTTACTCCAGGAAGCCTCAGGCGCCCTCAGTCTGAGTTGCCCACGCCGTGCCCCGGCGCTGGCTGGTTCAAGCGCTGTCTCTCGATCAACTCGTGGGGAGGTGTCGTGCCGCAGCCCCTGTCCTGAGGACCCTGCCACGGAGCACATGGCCAGGGGTTTCAGGCCGGAGCCGGGAGCCATGTTGTCTCCCGCTACAGTTAAAGCCCAGGTTTGGGGTGTCTCTGGGGCGAGAGCGAGGTCCGTCTCTGTGGGGAGTCGCAAGCGGCAGGGAGCGCGGCTGTGGTGCTGTCCCGGCAGGTGGCAACTGCCCGGCTCTCCCCTACCTGCTGGACACAGTCAGGTCTTTATGTCGCCCCTTCTTTTGAAATTGTTTGACGGTGGGGAAGGTTCTGGCGCGACCCCTCGGCTCCGGAGCCCGGGCAGCTGCCCCGAGGGCACAGGTGGCTGGAGGACGGGCTCGAAACCTCGCTCCTGCTTTATGGGCCTCCTGTTTCTCAACAACGAAAAAAATTTACAAGGCAGCAGCTTTTGAAATTCAATGTAGAAAATAAAGCCAAAATAGTTAAAATGAAAGAGTCACATAAAATTGCAGCCGCTGCCGGCTATAGCCAGATTAAATGGCGCAGCTCGGCGCGTGGGTAATGGCCGCTGCCCTCGGACACACGGCGAGGGGTCTCAGACGGCACCCACCAGGCCGTGCCCCCTGCCACTGCCCACGCAGAGCTTGGTCTGTCCCACTGCTGCCTCCGCCACCGAGCCCTGAAGCCAGCAAGGGCCCCGTGTGTCCCCAGGACCAGCCCCGCCCGAGAACGGGGTCTTCCCATGCAGGAGCCGTGAGGCTGTCCTGGGAGAAGCGGGCCCTGCCATGAGCCACACCTGTCCTCGCAGCCACCCGCTCCTCACCCCGAGACTTTGTCCCACATGCCTGAAACCGAGCCGGAGTCCGTGGCTGCACAGGGCGGCAGGAGGCGGGGAATGGCCAGCGTGGTGCAGGGGCAAGGGCTCCGCCGTGCCAGGCTGGCGTCCAGCAAGTGCCGAGGCTGGAGGGAGGGAGAGAGGAAGACACCCGCGTGCTGAGTCACGGCGCAGTCAGGCGCAAGCAGGGCCCCGCGGGCCTGCAGGAGGATCCCGACTGTGGCGGGTGGCAGGGCCGAGCTGTGGCGGGGAGCGAGGCCTGTGTCAGCTGCGCGGCCGGCAGGCCCCGGGCAGCGCGGGAACTGAGCCACGAAGCAGAAAAGAGCCCGCCACGTCAGGGCCGTGGAGACCACCCCCAGTGTCCACGTGGCCCAGAGGGGTCCATCACGGGACCCCGATCCAGCATCCCTGCCATGCAGGAAGGGGAGAAGCGAGCAGGGGTCCAGCCTGCCCATGGGACCCGCCTCCCGGCACACCTGGCTGGGCTCCTGCCCCCTCAGGTCCCCTGAAGCTGCAGGCGAGCAGGGCCCCCTGCAGAGCGACCCCCTCATTCCTTGGGGTCTAGGAACCTTCTCTCCTGAATCCTTCCATCTCTTCCCTCTTTGCTACGGAAGCCTCAGCAGGGAGCAAATGGGGGGTTATTAGTTTTTAATAGCTAGATGGTTCCAAGCAGCCTCTTGGCACAGTTGAATCAGCCACCATAAGAAATACACAGAAATTGAGTAAGAATCAACGGATCAAAGCGCCTAGAGCCGTGGGGGCGGGGCGAGAAGGTGTCGATTGATCGGGATCAGTTGTGGGATTGGCTTTTAGTCCTAAGAGCCTGGACTGGGCTGAGGTTACCCTGACATCTCACACGGGCAGGTCCAGGAGCCGGGAAGGTGGGAGCCACGACCTTCAGGCCCCCCTGCACGCAGTTTCTGGGGTCGCCCCCACTGGCTCCCGGACTCTCAATGCAGCGGCCGGCCGGCTGCTGACGCCCCCTCTAGCTCAGGACTCGGCCTGGTTGCCGCGAGAGGGAAACTCAAGGGTGGCCAGGGACGGGTTACCCAGAAATGCCTTTGCTTAGGAGGCCCAGAAAGGCAGGCGATTCTGCTCTGAGGATGTAAATGTTTCCACAGCATGTTGGGGTTCCAGGTAACCAGCACCTGAGTCACTTCTGCCCTTTCTATTTTCATCTGCGCTGTGTCCACCTGAAGACAGCGGGGGGCGCGAGGTCGGCATGGGGCCCCACGGGCCGCGGCAGGCTGGGAGCGTCTGTCTGCCGACAGCGGCTTCCAGGGGGCCCCCTGTTCCGGGGGCATGAAGACGCTGGAGACTTAAGACCTTTGTTTCCCCACAGGGGTGATGGGCGAGTACGAGCCCAAAATAGAAGTGCACTTCCCAGAGACGGTCCCCATGGCCAAGGGCGCCACGGCCAGGCTGGAGTGCTTCGCCCTGGGAAAGTAAGTTCGGGCCGCGCCTCGCGGTGGGGGCAGCCACGGGCCGGGCCTCCTCCCTGGTCCCCCCGGTTGGGGGGAGGGCAAGGCCGTCTGCTGTGGCCACAGGAAAGGGAGAATGGGCGATGCTGGCAAAGTGCCTCGTCCACTGCTGCGGCCCGTCAGGTGCGGCCGCACCCGGAGTGACCTGAGACGCGGCTCCGTTCCGAGCAGACAAGCAGGGTGAAAACCCGGGGCTGGTTCTGCCTCCAAGAGGCACTTCAGACCTTTCCTGAGTGGCCCTCTAAATTGCCAGCCTCTCCTCTCCGCTTGCTCCCCGCCAGCGCCGTGAGACGGCCCCGAAGACCCTCGGGAGCAGCCGCGTGAGCCACCCTGGCTCTCGCGCTCAGGAGCAGGCGCACCCAGGGCAGCGAGCGCAGAGGCGGCACTGGGGCCGCCGTGACCCACGGCACGGGCGCTCGGGGCAAGTGTGTGTCTCTGCCCGCCCCACACCCCGCCCAGAGTCGCCGAGGCCATGACTGACCTTCCCAACCTCTGCCTTGACTGTCCTCGGCTTTTGTGCTTTCCAGCAGCCACAGGGGGAGGATGCCCCTTCCGTTCGTGACATTCTCTGCTCTAGCAGGAGGCCTCTCGGGCGTCCGTGTCTCGGGCCAGACTCGTCCTGCGGCGGCGTCTGCCCCGCTGGACACTCTGCAGAGGCCTCGCTGGGCCCAGAGGGCGTAGCACACCAGGTGCCAACAGAGCTGATGCGCCTTCAAGGCCGGCTGTCGGGCAGCTTGGACGCCCGGAAGGGCCGGACACCCTGCCCGGCCTGGGCCGGGGCCCTATGTTACCCTTAAACGTGTATCTAAGAGTCGGGAGCCTGACCAGGGGAGAGGTGAAGGCAGGTGACTGGATCTGTCTGGTGAGCTCTGCAAGTGACGCCTTGAAAAATCTGTGGTGAAAGAGCAGAGTCCTTGCCGTGTGCTCTTGGGAGCGGGCGAGATGGTCTCAACCCCATTCAGGCCGCTTGAAGAGCTTGGGGTGAGCACAGGAGATCCCGCATGAGCCCCTCCAGCCTGCAGCGCCACAGCCAGCTGCGGAGATGCGCATCTCTGCGGCCTTAGCAGCGGACACCCCGGGGAAGGGGTCCCTGGGGGGTGGAACAGAGCCCCCCCACTCCCCTTAGTGTCTGGCTAGTGACCCGAAATTCTCCTAATGCAGGGAGAGTCGAGTTGATGCCTTTGATTTTTTAAATGCCAGTCAGGTTTTCCAGAGATGAGCAAGTCTTCAGTCTAGCTGCTTCTCTCTGTGTTTTTGTGAAAAACAAGTAAGGAACTAGGTGTGTCCCCTGCTGGGAAGCTGCGGTCTTCAAGCCTGCCCCGCGCTGCTCCCGCCAGCCTAGACAGAGGCCCCCGAGCTGCAGGGTGCCTCCGAGCACATCGGAACCCCCAGTTTGCTTCTTCCCTTACCTCACTACTTCAGTAACAATTCCCCCCAAACTGCTCCCCAAATGAGGGTACAGAGGGGATGTGCCAAGAGGCAGAAAGTAGCAGCTGCCCATTGCTTACTTCTGAGCCAGACCAGAATCACGTCTGCCTGGTTCCGGGGTCAAAGTCACCAGAGAACCCCCACGCCCCAGACTCGGGGGGCGAGCCCACTTCACCTCCTTGTGAGGAGAGCGGCAGGACGCCGTCCTCACCCGCCGCCTGTGTGCGGGCATTGCAGCCTTCACATTTACGGCTTAGAAAGAACAAATGCTCTAGGGGGAAAAATATAGTATTTAAATATAAAAACAGGTAAACAGAACAATCCCCAAAGTCTCAGCGGCACCTCACGCGGAAGCTGGTTTCCTCACTTAGGGCTGAGGGAGGGGAGGGACGGCGCGGGCGGGTGGGGCCTGGCCGCCCTGCCCGGGCAGCGTGAGTTGGGATCCAAGAGGGGGGCGGATGCGTAGGTTCTCGGGCGCGCCGCCGTCTCATCGGCGCCCCCTGCTCTCGCTGCCGGCAGCCCGGTGCCGGCTATCCTCTGGAGAAGAGCCGACGGGAAGGCCATGGCGAGGAAGGCGCGGATTCGGGAGACCGGCGGGATTCTGGAAATCCCCAACTTCCAGCAGGAGGACGCCGGCCTGTACGAGTGCGTGGCCGAGAACCTGCGCGGGAGGAACGTGGCGAGGGGCCAGCTGACCTTTTACGGTGAGTCATGGCTCCGGTTTCCCGCCGCCTGCGCCTTTCTGCGCGGTGAATCCGCAGGCCGGAGCTCGCCCCGGCTGGGGAGGGCGCAGCCTGTGTCGGGCCTGGGTCTGCACCGAAAGAGCATCCCCTGGGGTGCAGCGCGAGGGTGGGGGCCGAGGGTGCGGACAGGCAGAGGGCGGCAATGAGACCGTGTGTTTGGGGTGGCCCGGTGCGGGCTCATGCGGGAGCTGTCCGGTTGTGAGCCTGACGCAGGAGCCGTTTCCGTGCCGGGCAGGGCGTCCGCTCGTCCCCGTTGGGGCTCTGACTCGGGCTGTGTCCTCCGCTGGGACGCTCCTCTCTGGGGCAATTTGATGTGCAGCCGGCGCTTCCAAGTGCGTGGGGTCCAAATTTAGCTCTCGCCAGAGTGGAGCTCGACGAGCCCCCTCACCCCGAGACTCCCCGCTGCAGCCGCTCCTCCCCACCCAACCCGACGGACACGGCAAGCACATGGGAGGGTGGCGCCGGCCTCGGACACCCCGTTAGGGCAGCGAAGGGGAGTCTGGGAAAGGTTGCCTTGGGCAGGCGTTTAGAAAGCAGGTTGAGTGCCGCGAACTGGAGCTGGTCTGAACCCCACCAGCCTTGGGCACTGCAGAGAGGCGTCGTGGACTGACGTTACCCAGAGCGGTTCAAGCACACAGTAGCGTGTGTGGGCGCCACGAGCGCTTCTCTGGGGCCAGCCAGGCCCTGCTCTGCACGCCCGTCACTCGGGTAACCGGTGCCACGAGAGTCGTTTCTCTCGGCAGTTCTGCAGGGCAGTTTGGTTCTAAGATCCGACCAAAGGATTTTGTTGACTCGTCATGAGAGGGACTTAGGAAGAGCGATTGGAAGCCAGTGGAGGTTTCCAGCACCAGCCAGCCGTTAGCGGCCTCCCCCACGCGACGCCCAGCCTGCGGACTCCCCACATCTGAGCTGGCCTGGTGGGAGAGCACAGAAGGTTCTAGAAAGGACTCCACATGGTGACCCGGCAGCCCTTGTCTGAGTCATCTGCACCCCCTTAACGCTCCTGTCCTTCGACAGCAACAGGACGAGCCCCACCACGGGAGACAGCGTGCCCTGCTTCCTCCTTCGCTCTGGCAGCTGCCCCCTTATCTGAGGGGGCACACATTCAAAAGCCCCCACGTTTGAGAGCCGCAAGGCTGCAGATTTGGCCTGTGAGGTGCTGTCGCCCTTTTCAAGCACTTGGGCTGCGTCTCTCTCACCAGTGTTAAGTTAGCCCCGTGAGTCAGGGAGGCGCCGCCTGGGAGTGGCCGGGTCAGGCCACCTTCCTTCCCTCTTCGTTGGTTGCCTGCACTTGCCCATCCCGCGCCAGTGGGTCCTGTTGTTTGAGATGCGCGACCGAATGAATGATGCCATCTGCCCTTTCATGATTTTCTTGTAAGGGAAATACCTGTTTTCAGCGTGCTGGGAAGGCCTGGGAATTTCGTAACCAGGAGTGGGTGGGTGTGACGCTTCCCACCCCCGCGTGCCCCTCGGCGCCACAGCTGTGTGCCCAGCGCTGCCTGGACACCACGCCACTGTCCTTCTGGCGCTGAGGCCACCTGGCCCCCTTCAGAGGCTTGGGGCATGCTCCGACAGGCTGGGGAGCCCTGGTTGGTGCTGCGCCCCGCGACTGTCTGAGGGTTCCTGTGAGCTGCTCGTGGCTGCGGCATCCAGACCGGCAGGGCTGGGACGAGCCGCTTCCAGCGCTCCGCAAGCCTCCCTGCCCAGCGTGGCCTAGTTTCAGTCTGCCTTTTGGACATTTTTTAGCCTAAAACATTTCCTAAAATTGGGTCTGTTTATTTTTAAGGGTATGAAGTGCGAGTTTTTCCAAAATGACTTAAATATATTATTCATTTGTTCAACAATTTTTTTTTTTTCTTGCCGACCACGCGGCAGGCACCCGGGCAGTAAGACAAATCCCTGCCCTGAAGGAGCTTGTGTTTCCCGAGGCGCTGACAGGAGATACACGACTGCACAAACACATGAGCTAGAAAATTGCATGTTGTGATCAGAATTATGAAGAAGATAATTAGGAATATAAGTTAGGATAGAAAACATCTAGGAGCTGGGGGAGGGCTCATCAGATTGGTGCTCAGGGAATTGACTTCTGAGCTGAAGCCAAAGCATGAAAGGAGCCGGCCCTCCAGGGGGTCCTGGGGCAGAGAGATGTGCAAAGGCCCTGAGGCAGGAAACGACTCCATTGGTGTGACTTGGGGCTGGGAAGCGGGTGCCTCAGGCCCAGTGAGAAAGCAGGAGGCTGCGCATTCTGCTTTCCCTACAAGCCAAGTTTGGAAATCTGTCTGAGTGCATTGGGACACCGTGGGAGAATGTTAAGCCTGGGGGTGACTCCATCTGATTCCTTTTCAAAGATTCCTCGGTGCTTTGTGGTGAGGAGGTAGCCAGAGTGGCGCAGGGAGTGGCTCAGGGTGTCAGCTGGGCCTGGGCGGTGGCTGGGACTCTCGGAAGGAGAGGAAATGAGAGACTCGGGGTGTATTTTGGAGTTAGATTCAAAAGACTTCTCATGTCCTCCCTGATGTGACCCACATTCTAGATCAGGAAGCTGATCCCTGCAGAGATTGTGCTGATTTAAGTCTGCGTGGTAAGAGCAGAGCTGGACTGCAGGTGCCAGGGCAGGCAGGTCCTGCGGCTCGAGGGCCGTGAAACAGCCTGCAGTTGTATTAAAATGCCAAACACTGATGGGGCGTGGCCTGGGGGGTTGTGCTGTGGGGCCAGGGTGGGCCGAGGGCTTGGAGGGCTGATGCAGCCGGGCAGGGTCCCCGGGCAGCTGTGGAGCTGCTTCCAGGGGCAGAGGGAGCTGAGGTGAGCCACAGCAGGCCCAGGCCCTCCTGCCTCTCTGGGCAGGGCTGCGTGCCATGGTGTCCGCACTGCAGACAGCGACACAAAGCAGACGAGAAGTCATCATCCTGAAGAAAGGAGGGGAAGGAGCGAACGGATTTAATTCGCAGGATAGTTGCTTGCCTTCCCACCCCATCCTGCCGGCACAGTCACCTCCTCCCCCACAGACGGGCCCGCACCGGCCTCTGGGTGGGTGCGTGAGGAGAGCCTGCCCCAAGCCGGGGGTCGGCGGCCCTCGCTAGCAGGCGTGAGGACGTCTCCCGTTAGGCAACAGTGAGGTGCAGGGGCCTGCCGGGGACAGCCCTTTACTTTTTATAAGAAAATAAGACCCAGAGAGATAATCACCCCAAACTGTAACTTGGGGGACGGGAGCTACGGCCAGCCATGGCCTTGCTGTGCGATGACAGTGTCCGGCAGCCTGATGTGCGCGGGTGGCCTGACTGTGGGCCTCAGCGTGCACGACAAATGGACTTACCTGAGGCTCAGCCGCAGGCACACGCAGAAAGGTTAGCAAAGGGCTTATTTACAGAAAGGGGGAATGAAGAAAGGAATGACTCGGGGGAGGGAGAGAAATTGGTGACTGCGCCTCCCGGCTCCCTGAGCTGGGACCCCCGGAGCAGCTGAGAGCCGGCGGAAACCCAGGCCCCCGAGGCCCTTTACCGAAGACAAGACGGCAACGAGGAGATTGCTCCTGAGCCCAGAGACTCGCAGCGGCGGGGGTCAAGTCCCCACGTGGCCATGCAGCCTCCTGCTGAGTGGGGTGAGGACAAGACTGAGGTGGCCTTGGGTGAGGGGTTCTTCTGCTTCAGACCTTGAAAGAACAGGAATGGCCGGGCGGGTGTCCCAGCACGGGAGTGTGCTTCGCTCCGTGCAGCTGGTGGCTCCACGTGTGTCCACGGGAGAGAATGGAGATGCAGCCCCTTCCAGAGCGATCCCGCTGCTCGCCTGCCCAGGGCCGTGCTGAGACAGGAGGGTGCTGGTGCAGGGGAACCTGGGCACGAGGTAGACACCACGGCCTGCAACACGCTGCGGGAGACGGGCTGGTGTCATCCAGGGGGTGGAACTAGGCGGCCGAAGAAGCGAGGAGTGATGTGCATTCCCGGGAGCATGGGCCCCGCTCAGGGCCGCCCTCTCCCTTCCGAACAGCCCGTCTGCGTGCGCGTTCCGTGGCGCCGTGGCCCCCTGTGCTGTGGATCCGGACCCCCTTCCTGGGGGCCACTGACCAGACAGCGCTTCTGGTGGGACGTGCGTCATCGCTTTGAATCAGGCTTCTCTGGACTGGCTTGACTTCAACAGCAAAGACAGGCCCTGCCGGTGCCCGCAAAGACCCATGCGTTGCCGATCGCACCTGGCTGCTCAGGAGCTGCCGGGCGCCCCTCGGCCGCCACCGCCTCGCCTGCCGGGAGAGGAAGCGCAGCCTCTGCAAGCGTTTGGTCAGTGAGCACCTCGCCAGGGCTGGCCAGGCCCTCTCAGGCGTCCTTCCTGCACCAGCTTCTTTTTGTTTCTTGGGATTTTTTTTTTTTTCAGAACACAAGGCCTCGCTTCCCGCTTCCTCTGGTTTTGAAAGAAAACCCAAGTGTTACAGGAAATCCATGGCATTGAAATCTGTCTCTGCACGCGGTTTTGATGTTTCCTTTTTAACTTCAACTTGACATTGCTTCGTAAGTCACACTTGCCCTTGCATTTCCCCCTCGCTCTCTTTGAAAAGTCGGCTGAGCTGGTAATATTCCATACGGATTCCTGCAGCTCGGCTTGTTGCCTTTCGTTGCATGGACGCTGTGGGGGGCCGCTGTGCCCCAGGTTGAACGTGCCATGATGGCCGCCGTCGGCCCCACCGGCCGCGCCCGTCCTGGGCAGAGGGTGGAAGGGACCTCTGAGCTCCCTGGCCTCAGCGGCGGGAGGATGGGGCAGGGCCTCGCTTTGCCAAGGTCCGCTTCGGCCTCCCCGGGCAGTGATGCGTCAGCCCAGCAGCCCGCGCTGGCGAGACTGGGTTTTGCTCTTTGAAAAGCGTGAAATCGCTCACCGGCAGCAAAGGGAGAAGCCGGGACCCTCGAGGGCTCCGCCGGCTGCCCACCTGTGGGGTGTGTTCCCGGCCGCGGGTCAGCGAGGAGGGGCGACCCGGCCGGCGCCACACGTCATCTCCTTTTAAATGACATGACGGATGCGCCGGCGCCTCTCAGAATGACGACTCCCGGATCAGCCCACCGAGAGGCAAGGGAGGAATATTGAGCAGCATCTTTTAATTAAACGGCGCTGCCAGCTCTGCCCTGGAGGCCGCGTGGTGGGCACCATTGTGCAGCGACGCCGCGGGAGGCGGCCGGAGACCAGCTCCGGTGAGCAGGGCTGAGAGAGGAATCCGATTGAGCCGTGGAAATTACCAAGAAATGACAGACACAAGATAGAGTTTAAGCGGGAGCCAGGGGCGCAAGGCCTCGCGTTCGTGCTCAAGCGTCCCGAGTGCCTGGTGCACCTCGTGCTCACTGCTTCAAGCAGCCCCCCGCCCCCCGGGCAGTTACCAGACAGGGAGGATGCTCTCAGCCTTTGGCCTCGTCCGGGCACACGTTCCCCGCCAAGGTTCTGCGCCGTCAGGTCTGTTTCTTTTTCTGATCTAGTCTGTCCCCCAGACATAGCTTTGCAGACTCAAGAAAGAACAGCCCCATCTGTCCACGCGCCGGTCCTCCCGCCCAGGCTGATCCGTTTTTTAGCCATGACCTTCGTGGTCTCCTTGTCTCAGCACTGCATGCCTTGGGGGGCTCCAACAGGAGACGGCCTCCCGGGCGCCAGGGACAGCTCCTCCAGACGACACCCACACCCGCTACCAAGCCTGAGATGGGCTCCAGCCGGGACGGATACATGTGGGGACTTCCTGGGGACGCAGACTGGACAGTGTCTTTGTCTCCATTAAGAACAAAGCAAGGCAGCACGGCCTCCCCGGAGCAGGGAGCTGCGGCCTGGCCTGGGCGGTGGGGCCGTGCGGGCCGCATGGGACTTGGGCCTGCAGCTCCTGCCATGGGTGGTGGGCAGGGAGAAGGTTCTAGTAAAAACGTAGCATTTATGCGGGGATTTGAGGTTTTAGGGCCACATTCTGTGGGTAACTGTCTATTTAGAGTAAGTCAACAGTTTAAAATAAAAGGGTAATGAGCGTCTTGGCGGGGAGAGGAGCCCCAGGACTGTCCTCGGCACGTGGGGGGCCCTACAGTGGGCGAGGCTGGGCAGCCTCAGCCGTCCACCAGGGACGTGTCCTGCTCCCACAGCTTCTCCGGGCAGGCGGGGCCAGGCTGCAGGGCCGTTTGCTGTCTGCGCTGGGGCTCGGCAGGGGCTTCTTCCACCAGGGGGGCCTATGGGCATCCCAGGCACCTGTGGGAGCTGCCCTCGCCCTGCACCATGGCTGTGAACGTGCCCCATGGCCCCTCAAGCTGTGCAGGGATCAGGGAGTGGACTGTGTCGGCAGGAAACCAAGCCCGGCCCAGGAGGAGTGGTGGGCGCAGGGTCAGCCCCTGCAGGGGGAGGGGGGCCACACAAAGGCGGGGTGGTCCCACGGGGCCCACCCTATTCATCCTGCCCTCAGTGACGAGGACGCCAATCCCCCAGGCCCCCACCCAGGCCCTTCACCGCCCATAGGCCGCAGCGTCCTCCGCAGCCCCGAGCAGGCCCTGCCGAAGTCCCCTGCCAAGATCGCGGGGGACCGGCTGGCCTGACACACGCCGACAGTGGCCTCTCTCTGCTCTTGACCCGCTGCAGCTCCACCTAATTGGATCCAGGTGATAAACGACGTCCGCGTGGCCATGGAGGAGGACGTCTTCTGGGAGTGCAGAGCGAGCGGGAGGCCGCGGCCCACGTACCGCTGGCTGAAGAACGGGGAGCCGCTGCTGGCTCGGGTAAGCCGACCGACCATCACTGTGGCTCGGGGTGACGGTGACGCTTCATGTGGCCTCGTTGCCATGGAGATGGGATGGTGAGCTGTTTCCAAAATAACACGCAACCAAATGCCGTGGGTAGTGGAAGGGGCAGCCGAGGCCGCTGGTCAGTGCGGGGTGTGTGTAAGGCCAGGGCTCGCCTGGTCCCGCCCAGGGCTGCGCGGGAGCCTCCCCGCCGGGTCACCTGGGCTTTGCAGGGGATGTGGTGGAAGGTCTGCAACACAGGTCGGCGCTGAGACCCACGGGGGGCAGGCTGGCCCACACTCCTCTCCCAGGAGATGTCTGCCCTCACGGCGCGGCAAGGGCGCCACCCCACAGCCGCCCCCCGCCCGCCCGCCCCCTGCACACACCGTGGCCACACACTCGCACGCGGGCTCATCACGCCGATGAAACAGGAAGAGCAGATGCCAGGTGGTGGCTGGCCGGGCTCCAGAGAGCCTGTTTCCTCTCTGGAAACAGGGTGCTGTGTCTTCGGGTGTAGGCCACCCCCCCACCTATTGGTACCCCATGGGAAAAGCAGCCCCAACGATGCCTGGCTGACCAGGGTGCTGCGGCTGGGGGAGGCAGGAAGGCCCGGGCCGTGACCCCCAGCCCTGAGACAGAGCTTAGTGTATCGCACTCCCGGGGATCAGGCCCCAGGCCCCTAGCAGATGTGTTTCTGGACGAGACCCAGGGCAGGAGGAGGAGGTGGCCTTCACTAAGGTTCCAACAACAGGAGGAAGACGAGCAACTGTAGGCCATTCTAGGAAGGACGCGGGGCTGAGCCTGGCTTGTGGGGCCCAAGAGGCAAATGAAGGAGCTTCGTCAGAGCAGTGATCAGGCACTTTGGAGAGATGCAGAAATGGATTTTTGAAAAGAAACATCATACAAATCTTAGCTTATGCAACTACTGAAATAAAAGCTCGGAGCAGGCTGCTGCTCAAAGGCCTGGAGGGTGAGGGCCCTGGACACTCAGGTGCCCACCTGCGGGCCCCCCAGCCCCGGTCCGTCCCGGGAGCCTGCTATCCCGTGTCCATCTTGTGGGCCGGGGCAGCGGCAGGCAGGGTGCCTCCGCGCCTGGCTGGCTGCAGGGCCTGGAGTTCTGGGGCTGATGAAGCTTCTGAGGGGCTGCCAGCTAACCCTCGCCCCCAGGCAGACAGAGCACCTGCTTGCCTTTAGCTCGCCTGTTTCAGTGGCTCCCCCCGGTGCTCAGGAGAATTGCTGAGGCTCCTCCCGCACCCTCAGGCTGACCAAACGGGGGGAGCGGGGCTTGTCCAGATGGTCCCACCAGAAGGGTCTGCGTGGGGGCCGCGTGCACCCCAAGAGGAAGGGAACCTTAATTATTGGTACTTATTTGTTCCTTTTTTATAAACCACAATGAATATTAAAATATTTGCCTCTGTTTCCTCCGAGAAGACCGCAGGCCTGTTAACCTTCAAAGTGTGGCCTGCCCAGAGTTCCCGCGGCTCAATGCTCTAAGTGGAGAATCCGCTAGTGTCTCCACCCACCCTGCCCCGCAGTTAGCACAAACTCAGAGTGAAAAGGCATTTTAAATTTCAAGTTCATCTATTCAGCGGGGACATGCCGCTGAAAGGTTTCGCTCTGAAATCAATGAGAACTCAAGAGAGTCCTACAATTTAAATTCCATTTACCAGCCGATGTTCGAGTTTCGCATCTGACCTGCCACCAATGTGGCTGACAGATAAATAGATCATGTTATGTAAATTGCTGATCGGGTGGCGATGTGCCTCCCGCGAAGTCCCGGGGATCTAACTCACCGCCACACTGCCCGGAGGGCCCGGCGGCGGGAGGTCACGGGTCCGGCCCCCTTCTCTGTCACAGGACAGGGTTCGCATGGAGCCCGGGACCCTCAACATCAGCAGCGTGAACCTGTCGGACGCCGGCATGTACCAGTGCGTGGCCGAGAACCAGCACGGCGTCGTCCTGGCCAGCGCGGAGCTCAGCGTGATAGGTGAGTCTGCGGCTGGAGGGGGAGAGGCGCACTCGGGTCGCTCACTGACTCGAGCTTTGCCACGCACGGTCTGCCCGAGCCCTGCGGCAGAGACGGCTGCTCTCCACCCGCGCGGGAGGGGGGCTTTCCAGAGGAGCCTGTGAGGCTGCCGGGGGGGCCGCCCGCCTCATCTGTATTCCTGCACCGACCACGCCTCTAAACTGAGCCAAGCAGAAGAAAGGCTTTGATTTGGTGCAGACTTCAGCGTGGAAGGAGGAGCAGCACGGGTCGGGAGAGGCTGTGGGAACAGCTGGCAGAGAGGGGCGCGTCCCTGCACCCTGGGCTTTCCAGACTCTGGCCAGGACCAGCGTCCTCAGCCGGGCCCTTCCTGCCTGCCCCTCCGGGGCGGAGCTCCGCACCCCTGTTCTCCCTCTGCCCGCCATGGAGAGCGCCCCACGGCATGTCCCCCGCTCCGCTCCTCCCCTTCTCCAGGCCTGCTCCCCGCTGCGCCCAGGCAGGCCAAGCAAGTGCCTCCTGCTGGAGACGTGTCCCCTCCCTCCCAACCTCACATTCCCTTTTCTCCGCTGCACTGGAAGCCCCTGTGACGTCCTGGTGCCCGTCCCGGGACATGGCGGACGCCCGGCAAACACCGAGCAAATGCAAGAACACGCGTGTGCTGAGTGATGGCGCTGAGTGTTTTTAAAAGGAAATTGATAAGTGAGTAAGTGAAAACATCGCCTGAGTGGATTGATGAAACTTTAGGGCATTAAAAACAAAATAATCTGGGCCACGAGCTTGTGTGTAGCTCACGGAGAAACCTTCGTCTGACTTTGGCATTTCTTGGAGAAAGCAAGAAAATTTCAAAAAGAAATCAGGTGACAGCACGGACAGCCCCCGTGCACCCGGAGAGGGCCAGCGTGCGGGGTGCCCGCCGGGCCTTCACGAGGTGCTTTGTGAGAGACCAGGACTGTGGGGGACCCGGGACGGCCCACGAGACAGTGTGTCCTTCTCCATGGAAAGGAGATGCGGCCGGTCGTCCAGGAGGGGCCCTTTCAGAGGAACGGTCAGTGTCATTTTCAGAAACATCGTCTGCTCGGCTCAGAGCCCCATCCCTGAAGCCAACGTTTCGCCTCTAAGGTACCCTTTGGGGTCATGGGTGTTGTTCCCCGGTGATGACTCTTCGCGCAGCCCCCTGAGCCGCCCCACCCTTTCTGGGCGCAAGGCCCAAGACCCATTTCCGGTCAGAGCTGTGCCATCCAGGGCAGTTCTCGATGCTGCCCCCGGGTGCCAGCCGAGAGCCGGGGCAGGGGGAAGGCCGAGTCGTCCCACCACCATCCAGCGTGCAGGCAGGACGGGGTCCCCGGGCTCCGGGACTGTGGGAGTGGCCACTGATGGCCGGTGGTCAGCGGGCCCTGAGAAATAGTTTTTATTTGGACACAAAATAGGCCCAGGGATATTCCAGACCAGCGGGAAGGAGCCTGAACAAGGCTCGGCCACAGGGATGTCCGCGGCTCTCACATGCAGAAGCCTGGACGCGTCTCCACACTCCTGAGTCGAGCACCAGCAGCGGGTCGGGCGAGTGTGCCCTGGTGTGAAACACCAACTCGGGGCCAGTTTCAGGGGATCCTGGAGAAGAGGCTTCATGCCACCAGGGCCACGCAGAGCGGTTACATCACCGGGTGACCCCAGCGTCCCTCTCGCGAGAATGAGGGTGAAGACAGTGGACTCTGAGGGCGCAGAGGCCCTGGGGGCTCGTCCGGCCACGCCGTGACCCCGGCGCTGCAGGTCGCGGTGTTTGTAGGACAAGAAGCAGGGACCGTTGGACTCCCGGCCACAGAGCGGACGCGGTGTTACCCGTGGTAGACTCCGCCGGCGCTGACCTGAGCGGAGAAACGAAGTTAAAGTGACACCGAGGCACGGAAGCCCTTGGCCGTGGCCTCCCCTGGGTCAGCGCACGCGGCCGGACGGGGACCTGGTGTCTGCACCAGCGGTGAGACGGGGCAACCCCTCCTCCCCGCCCCGACATTGGAAGAAGGGGCAACGACTTGTGAAGATGCCAGATCTGAATCTGGGGTCGGGAGCATGACCCCCCCATTCCCGAGACCAGGGTGCCCGCCTCAAGGCTGGCGGCCCTGCCCTCTCACCAGCCTGGCCGCACAGCACGCCTGGCGCGTGTCCTTGGCTCAGCAAGGAGCTGGGGTCATACCCCCCAGCAGAGGGGAACTCGAGACGCCCCAAGAGGCAGCTGTCATGGGCCTGAATGTCCCTCTAATTTGCGAGCCAATCATCTGAAGACATGCCCAGGTAGCCAGGTCGTGGCTCACGCCTGCACCTCTCTCTCACTGGGCCCTCAGGTCCTGAATGGTGTTTGAGGGTCATGCCAGGGCCAGAGGACCCCCCCAGACTGGCAGGACCCCCCAGACTGACACGGAGCCCAGCAGCAGTCCCAGGAAAAGCTGCTTCTGGGTTAGGCATGGTCAAGCCAGTGTCCACACCCCACTGCAAGGACACTCACTCGCTGTCAGGGCAGGCGCCCCGTTTTACAACCGGAGATCCTCCGTCCTGCTGCCCGTCAGCCCCGGATGCTGGCCGGTGAGGGCGAGTTCCATGTCCCGAATTCAGCGTAGGCACCGCAGGCTCTTTCGGCGCTAACAGACCCGGACATCCCCACTGTGCCAGCGGCCAGAGCCCCTGCCCCGCAGGCCATGATGCTGAGACCTGAGACAGCGCAGAACCCCGCCTGGGAAGCCCCGGGGGCAGGCGAAGGACCCTCCCTGCTAGTTTGGCAGCCTTGGGGAGTCTTGTTACTGTTTCAGAATCAAGAGTTTGTGTTTCCCACGAGAGGTTGTGTGCGCCCCTGCTGTAAGGTGTTTCCCCGCACCCGGTCCCCGGTGACGTGGGGAGCAGCCGTGGGCGGGGCAGGCGGCAGGCGGGCTCCCGGGCCCAGCACCTGTGCACAGCGCGGCCCCCTCCAGCTCAGCAGGTCGCCTGGGACTGCAAGTACAACCTCCATCGCCCACTCACTTCCTGGAGGAGCAGGAGGCGGGTCTGGGGAGCAGCCTCGGGAACTGGACGGCACCCAGCAGGCGTGGGCGCCCGCGGCTGGGCTGGGAAAGAGCCCGGGCTTCGGGGCTTCGTGGAGGGCTCCTGCTCCTGGCTCCCTGGGCAGGGGCTGGCGTCAGTCAGCCGGCCTGGAAAGATGGGCCTGCAAAGAGGAGCCTGCCCACCCTCTCCAGCCTCCAAGTGTTCTGCTCGGCATGCCAGGGAGTTTGGGGTTTTTCAAATCTGACGCCAGCAAGACCTCCTTCGAAGCAGAACCCCCGAATCAATGCACTGTAGGCATCGTTTTATGGAATTAGGGCTTACTAAAGACACTAGGTAAACGTTAACATAATCTGCCATCCTGAACTTCTGAAATACCCGCCTCCTGGCCTCCGTCCACGGGCTGACCCAGCGCGGTTCCTGCAGACCGGCCGGCCGAGAAGGCCTGGGCAGGCAGAGAAGGAGCTCTCCTTGCCCGTCCTGCGGCAGGTGCCCTTCCCGGCAAGGCCTGGCGCTGCGCATCCAGGAGGGACTCGGCGTCTCGCCGTCTCCTGAGAAGTGACTCCAGGGCACAGATTTGTTTCCCAGGCTTCTGTGGCCACTTAAAATACCCTTGACATGTGACCAGGAGTCATCTAGTTAAGTAAAAACAAACCCTTGAAAGTCGCAGAGAGGCTCTCAGCCCCGCGCGTCTGCGGCTAATGGGAGGTTAGTGTGTCAGAGATCATGGATGAATAATAAAAAGCCGCCTTTCCACCCCCGGAGGCCCTCGGTGGCCGCAGTCTAACGCTGAGAGAGCAGCGCCCTCTAGCGGCGGGCGTGGGGAGCGCGTCGGTTTAGCCGGGGGGACTCTCTCTGGTCTCCCTGGGAGTATGATCCTGGAGGCGCCGCCTGCCTCCGGGACAGCCCAGGTAGTGCAGGCGCAGGACCCAGCGCAGGTGGTTGGGACTGCAGCATTGCTCCTGTGTGGAGGACCCCGGGAGCCCCACGTCAGTGCACACTGAGTGCCCCCTGAAGTGGCCCTGCTGCCACCGACCTGGGGATGGCGCCGGCCACTCTGTGGCAGCTATTACAGGCTCATTGGCTGGGAGTCCCACGCACAGCAAGCCCCAGGCCGGTGCTCCAAGCAGCATGGACGCAGAGGACACAGGCTCCAGCGGTGCTCACAAAATGGGGGAACGTCGGGAAAACCACTCTCGGGGCCAGGCTCAAAAATGGCTGCAGGCTGGCGGTTCTACCCTAGAAGTGCGACAAGGGAGGCCGGGAGGCTTCTCAGGGCTAGGACAGCGGGTGGACGCGGCGGGTCGCGACTCTCAGCGGAGTCAGCAGAGGCGTCCGGGTGTGGAATCCAGGAGGAGCCGCCTCCCTCCGGGACAGCCCCGGGAGCGCAGGCCCAGGCCCCGCGCGGGTGGCTCGCGACGGCAGCGTCTGCGCCTGTGTGGCCCACCTCGTGGGTTCCAAGCCCTGTACAAGCGGCATAGTTTCTTGACAGATCCGCCCGTATGTTGGACAGAGTTTGATTTATGTAAACTCATTTCAGATGCAACTGCAGGATTCCTCCTGAACAGATGAAAAATGTCTTCCTAAAGTGATAAAAATACATGTGTGTCGAAAGCTCTGGTTTTTAGAGGGGCTTCTTATGCGCTACAGATTTGTAACTCTGTCTCACAAAATACCCTGTCTAAAAAAGCTCCCAGAGCCTTGGTTTTCCTTACACAAACATGTCCATTCAGGTGTTTCCCTAGGATGAGAGTGAACGTTCTTTGCACTGCAAATAAGCACAGGCGGGGCGGGCTCTGGGGATGGTGTCAGCAGAATAGCCGGCTTGGTTTATGCCAAATTGCAGGAACTAATTGCAGGAGCCACACCCAGAACCCACTAGCTCAGCTCAGCACCCGCCCCAAGCAAAACCGCGCTCCCCGCCCACGCTCCCCACGCACCCCACGGTCTCCCTCTTCCCTCATCTGGCGCCAGCTCTCCTTGGGCAGTGCTTCTGGATGGTTCTCCCGGCCCTGTGGTTTTCACTCATTTCATAGTTGAGCCGTTTCCACGCGGCCTTTTCCACCACGCTGTCTTCTCACATGCACGCACACAAGGGTTGTGTGGTGTGCAGTGTTAGTGTTAGGGATTTAGCTTGTCCTTTCATCTTGCTGACACGTTTACCCAGACAGTCGGTTCTGTTAGTGTTCTCATCACACAAAACCCGAGTGGGTCTGTCCTGGCCTCCTCCCTCGTGGAACGCTGCGATTTTATTATGCGACTGTGCAGATCACGCTGGGAATGCATTTATCTCATTCCAGCAGAAACATCTGTCCATGCACTCAGCTTATTAATTGCACTTAGGATAGAATTACTGTCTGATTGAGGGCCCCTCGTGAACGGAGGTACACAGATTGAGATATCACTTGTGTACTCGATTCATTTATTTGATTTCACCTTCACATCATCAGCCCCGCCGCCTGTGTGCCTGCATCACTCCATTAAAAAGTGAGCTTCCCGTTTTTATTTCGTTCTAGGCAATTACTGGAAGTATTCCACCAAAAAGCACTTAATAAAAATTAACTCGCTTCCACTGACGCTTGGTTTTATTTTTTGCAGTCATTCCCATGTGGGCTCTGGTACAGTCAAGAAATTAACCCCTGCCATGCACAGGCGCGCGCACACTCTCTCTCTCTCTCTCTCTCTCTCTCTCTCTCTCTCTCTCTCCCTCCCTCTCCCTCTCCCTCTCCCTGTCTGCCTTCAGGCAATTTGTGGCTGGTATTTAAAGTCCACATGCAGCATGGTCTGAGGTCGTAAATTCCATTAGGCCCAAGTCTGGGGATTTGGGGCTTTAAATATGGTAACGTTCAGATTCCGGGAGCCAAATCCCTCCTCACCAAGAGGCCTAGACTACTTTAAGCCAATTAAGTTAACTCATAAGAAATGGAGATTTTTTTTTTCTGAGAGGTTTTTTTGTATGTTTGTTTTTTAGTACTTTTTCCTTGAGGATACAGATCTTTTGTGTCAGGAAAGAAATCAGGCCCTTAACATTCCACGCCACTGCGTCTTTGCTGTCAAGCTGGGTGAAGCTTTCAGCACATCAGTAGAGCTCGTGAGCGGTTTTCTCAGAGGCAGGGGCACAGGTGGAGGGGAGCAGGCTGCTGAGCAGACCCCTCTTTAAGGTGGGGCTCAGGGATGTGGGGGAGAGGCTTGGGACGGAGAGAGCCGCTGCTGATCCCCTTGTTGGGTCTTCCCCGTGTGTCTCCCTGAATTTTAAAAATGTTTGTGCATTTGAACGTGGAATCTTTTTGTTAACAAGAAAAGTCTCCATCGGGCGATGAGGGTCTGTCCCCTCGCCACAGGCTCACCACGCTGGGCTCTCACACGCCGTGCTGACCCGCTCACAAATCACACCGCAGATTTTAACAAGTCAAGACTGTCGGTGCTGCTCCCTTTACTTCAGAGAAAAATTAACTTCCTCCCTTCCATGCCTAAGGCACTAATAAGCACACTGTAGAAAGAATTAGGTGAAAGGAAGATCTGGAGGGATTTTTTTTTCCTTCCAGAGGTAATTGATTGTTTTATTTCCTCTATTCTCTTGCAGCTGCAGGCCCAGATTTTTCGAGAACCCTCTTAAAAAGGGTCACTCTCGTCAAAGTGGGAGGCGAAGTGGTCATCGAGTGTAAGCCCAGAGCGTCCCCCCGACCAGCCTACACCTGGAAGAAGGGAAGGGACGTCCTGCGAGAAAATGAAAGGTACGTCGGGCGAGGCGCCGGCCTGTGCTTAGCGGCAGCGATTGTTGGTGAGTTACTCCTGGCTCTGGAGGGGGCTCGTCGGTCCGCTCTTCATAGGCTAAATGTTAATCCTGGAACGGACGCCTTGAAGAGCAGGCAGAGGCTCGGTCTCTGTCATCCTGCCTCCAGAGCCTGAGGCGCAGCGCTGTGGGGGCAGCTGCCCGGCGAGGGCGGGAAGAGTTGCTTCTTTTAGCCGAGAGCGTGTTTGCAGTCCTGCCTGCTTCTCCCTATCCTACTGGCTCTTTGCACAAACAGATACATCCCAGTCTTTGCTGTGACACTTCATGTCTTTGCCAAATCCTTGGCAGTTAAGTCTCCTGCTAGTCTCTCCCTTTTTGAAGCTAAGTATCTGTTAATTCCAAGTCTCCTGTTACACATAACATGGCTTTGACTATTCTAATCATGTCTTTTTGAAACAAAACCGTGTGATCCCCCCACATCTGAACTCTTTGCTGTATATTTTCTCCAGCACAGCGATCACACGCACACTGCACACTGCTGATGGTGTAGACAGAGGTGGTCTGGGGCCTCCAGGTCCTGGGGCACCAGATGGCAGGTGCCTCTGAGACCTATTCTCGGCTGTCACCCCTATAAGTGTGCCTCAGCCCTCTGTGGTCTGTGGGATCATTAGAGAACTGTGGTGATGCCTCAGTCTCTGTTTGTCACCCATAAATAAGGTAGCATTTACCAGCTGCACACATATTGATTTTAATTGATGCTAAAGGTCAAGTACTCAGGATGCAAGGAGGAAGCCTGTAAAAATGTGTTTGTCTCTGACATTACACCTGTACACCTTTGGATTTGCATATGCAAATTAGGTCATTGCGCTGATGATGTTGTCCTGCCTCGTTTTCACAAACAAACCTGCTGTGGTTTCTAGACGGTGGAGCCACACACGTACTAAATTCACAATACACGTCCCCGCCCAGGTTCTGTCGTATCATAAATTTTTAAATTCTGTGTAGTGCTCTCAAGGTTGGCGTGTATTCATGCTGGGGACGGCCTGTGCTCGCGAGCCTGGTTCTCCCCGTGCAGACTCTCCTTCTGCACTGTAACGTTCCCCCGAATCCCTGGGTGAGCCGTGCTTTTGGTGCGCACGGAGACGTCGCTGGACCGCGGCACCTGCGTCACTTAGAGGGAGGCTACACGTTAAAAGTTCCCGCTTCACAATGATCTGAAGAAAACGTATCGTCTAAACGATAGTTGAAGAGACGCGTGTCAAAGGGGTTGGGGCCTGGGCATGGGGCAGATGAGCCCAGGCCGGGGCCTGGGCTGCGCAGGGCTGCTCCTCATCCCCGGAGGCGCGGGGTCTGCTGGGGCCGCCCCACCCTGGAAAGCCGCAGCGGCGGGGGCACCCCTGGCAGGGTGGTGCTGCCGTGGGAGAAGCTCTGCCCGGGCGGGGCTCACGCTCCCCGTTTCCTCGGCACTGGGGCCTAGAGACAGGGCCCCCCGCGTCCTGAGCGGCGGCGGCGCTGCGGGCGCCTGGGAGCCGCACCCCGGTGTGGAGAGTCCGTCTCTATCCCCTCGGTGGCTGCTTTCTGCCCAGCTGTCTCCTCCAGCTTCCGTTCTCTGCGCTGGCTGGATTAACGGGGTTCACGCAGCGCCTCCACACCCGCCCACGGAAGTGCAGGAGAGAGGGCAGACTCGACAGAGAAGTGGGGAGACGGCCCCGGCTTGTGACCGAGAGACCGACAGTCGCCGCGGCCACTCCTCGGAGGGACCAACATCTCTGAGGCTCCTCGGACACAGAGACACCAGCCCATGGCCCGGTCACCGCTGCGGGTTTCAGCCACAGATGACGACGCGGCGGCCGGGGAGACGCCGGCTACGGAAGCGTGCCTTACGCGGCGCGCCCTAACTCTGCTCTCCTGGGCTGCCTCCCGGTGGCTAGCGTTAGCCGGGGCCCGGGTCCCGTCTTGCCGCATCGTGTGGCGACCTCATCTCAGGAAGCAGTGCCCGAGTCCCTGGTCTGGTGTCAGCGTGCGCACGCCTGGAGACCTCCCGGCATTTTATTTCGTGCTGCGCCGGGGGTGGGCCCCGGGCACTCGGCGGCCGCTGGTTCTCGCCGCTGGTCCGGCTCGGGCGGGGCAGGGTAGCCACGGAGCGGGGCCTGGCGCACACCAGGACGTCGGCCGCAGGGGAGGCCTGTCCCCACCTTCTCTTCCCAGCATGGATCTCATTTGGACTAATTGAGCAATTAAACCTCCTCAGTGAATGCGGCTGATAATTTTGTTTACTTTTAGTTTCTAGGCAGAAGGCACTTGAGGCAGATGAGCTTGAACTTGATCTGTTAGAAAAACATCAAAATACAGAATAGCAGAATCTCTGATAAAGGCCTGCGTCCCGGAGCTCTTGGACGGACGCGGGCCAGGCAGAGGTGGACGCGGGTGACCGGCCGCGATGGGGTGTCAGGCAGGGCTCTGTCGGCTGCTCGAAGGACCTGGCCCTGCCCTCAGCCACCTCCTCCCAGAGGCATCTGCACAGAGGGACGCCCCGTCCCGGCACCCCACAGCTGCCATGTCATGGGGGGCACCGGACACCACAGCCAGGTGTGTGCCCACGAGGCTGGGGCAGGGGGTGGGGGTGACACCCCCCACCTTGTCTTCGGCCTGTGCTCCCGGGTGCTCCCCCACTGCAGAGCCACACAGCGCCTTGCTAGGAACTCTGCCGGGGGAGCCATTACGGATTCGCAGTAATTGGAGGCCGTTCATCTCCATAATGATGTGGCTCCTGCCTTGGAGCCCAGCAACATCGGGCCAGCGTCTCCCCCACACGCCTCTGCTGGCTGCTTCCTGGCGCCCAGGCCCTCGTCACCTGGCTGGTCCTGGAAACCGAGTGCGAGCTGTTCTCACATCAGCCCGGGACTCCCGGGCAGGGCAGCACTGCCCCGGCTCCCCCGCCCAGGGCAGGGCCTCAGGGAGCCTGAGCCGCCCCGCACGGCAGCACCCACCTGCTGGCCAGTCCTCGCCCGAGGTATGAGGCGTGTGATAGAGGGGATGCTGCCCCTGTGATGGGCAGCGGCCCCCGTGGACAGCCAGGGAGGGACGGCAGCGCAGGGCCAAGGGCTTAGACCCGAGCCGCAGGGCCGGAGGCCGGGCAGGGAGGCCAGGAGCAGAAAAGGCAGAGCTGGGAAGAGCCTGGGGTTCCCTCACAGGCGGGCACTACGACGCAGGGTGAGCAGGAGGGGTGGCCTGGCTCAGGGCCATCAGGAGCCTCAGGCCCGAGTGACGGGCGCCCACATCCCGTGCCTCACGCACTCGTGGAAACCTTGGACTTCAGGGCTCCAGAGGCCTCGGGTGCTTCCTACTCCGGCTCCTGTCATCTGCGTCCCGGGGCCTGTGGCTCCATTTTTACCCCATTTGTTGATGTTAGTGTTAGTGGCTCCGCCCAGTTGTGTTTTGTCTCGACCTCCTGGAGGCCTCAGAGGGCGTGAGGGGATGTCCCCCAGGCCTGGCAGGTGGGAGGCCCAGAACCACCGGGCACACCCCCACCCGAGGCTGCTGAGCCCCATCCTCAGCACCGGGACTGGGGCCCAGAGGCCGCATCTCTCCAGCCTGGCTGGAAGCAGAACGAGCTTGGCCTCCACTGCTGCAGCACGCGGGCCTTGTGACCCCGGAAAGCACCAGTGAATAGACTGTGTGACCCCGGAAAGCACTCTGCTCCCAGACCGTCCTCCTGAAGCGGATGCGGCCAGCCGGGGGACCCGGGAGGTCCTGCATTCAGGACTAGATGGTGGCTGTGGCAGTGGCTTCGGGGCTGCCAGGGAGGAGCCGGGGCTGACTCCAGGGCTGGCTGCGCACTCTGGGAGCCACTAGGTGAAGAGGCGGATTAAGTCCTTGAACCACCTCATGGTGCCTTTGTTCAGAGACAATAGCTGTGTCGTCAGCCGGGGTAAGCAGTCACGGGGGTGCTGGCAGCAGAGTGGCATGTAATTAAGAGCAGTTAGCCCTGAGTGATGTGGCCGCGTGCTCACAGGAGCCGGCGGCCTGTGCCTGCGGGCGGGGACCACCGGCAGCCTGGGCTCCTCCTCACGCCGCTCTCTTGGGAAGAAGCCTGCCAGGCGCGGCGGGCAGTGCCAGCGGGCAGGAGCCCAGGCCCGCTCCTCTGTAGTCTCCCGCGCGTCGTTCTGTCCTCGTGTCTCGGTCACCACTGGCTGGAGCTAGTTAGGTCCCTCCCAGTAGATACCCATCCTGGTGTCGCTGATCGCCTTTGCCAGATGATCTGCAAGAGCACGTTGGGGCTCTGTGTACCCAGCGTGTGGCACCGGCGGGGCGGGGGCGGGCTGGTGAGGCCCCAGTGAGGGCGCAGCATCAGAGATGAGCATGTGTTCAGTGGACACGACGCTGCCTCCTGCTCTCGCCAGGATGAGGAGTATCTTGTGCTCCTGTCATCCTGCCCACATCAGACAACGTGATGATATCATGGAAGCCTTCTAATGTGAAACAAAGCAAAGACTCAGTCCCTCTCGTCAGCAAAAACCGTTCAGCCCCCCACGCCTCTGGGTCATCCTGCGCAGCCGGTCAGTGACGCCGCAGGCTGCTGTAAGATGCATCCTCATGGGACAAGCCCCCAGGAGGCCCACCCGCCTGAGCGGTGCTGGAAATGTAGCAGACCACAGGCCGGGCCCTGACCGGGCACTTTGCTCACCGCCTGTGGTCTCTGAGGCAGTCTCTGGGTGTTGGTGCTGGCTTCCCGTGGCCAGTGCGCCGAGAGCGCCATGTCCATCACCCGATGCTGCCTGCGGGGCTCTGGGGCCCATAGGCATCCCCTCCCGGTCCACTCGGTGACACTGGGTGCTGCGTGCAGTTGACCCCAACGGGTGTGTTTGCACCATGCGGGGGGCACCGGGGACGTCATAGCTCACAGTCGCTGGAGGGCGGGTGTGGCTCCGAGGCGGGCCAGAGTCAGCTCCCGGAGGGATGAAGGCCTGGACCTTGGGCTCTAGGCCTCTGACTGCGGCG